GTTTTTTTTTTTTTTTTTTGCAATAAGGGGATTGAACTCAGGACCTTGCTCTTGCAAGGCAGGTGTGGTGCCACTGAGTTAAATCCTCTGCCCTAAAATAAAACAAACAAAAAAAATTGTTTATATTATTATTATTTTTTTGGTACCAGGGATCTAACTCAGATCCTTGCACTTGCAAAGCAGGAGGAGGGACCACTGAGCTAAATCCCCAGCCAAAATAAAATTTTAAAAAGGCTGTGGGTGTAGCTCAGTGTCAAGGGCCTGGGTTCTAACCCCAGTACTGGAAAAATTAACGAATCCACAAGCATGCCTGTGAGTCACACATCCAGACCATCAGACCCGCCACGGCCCCTTGGATTGGAGTGCAGGGGAGGGGTGCCTGCCTAGCACCCCTCCTTTGAGAGTTAGCAATCCCACAGCAGACATGATGCTCCGAGATGGGTCTTGGTGGGTGTGGATGGAGCCTGGAAGGAGATGGGGCTGAACAAAAAAGGGGACCTAAAGGAGTAAGGCCAAGGGTTCAAGACTCCTAGGCCTTCAAGTAACCGGCAAGGTCAGAAGGATGAGGATGGTTTAAGGCTTGGACTGGGAGGGCTGGGGATTCAGCTCAGTGGCGCTGCACCAGCCTTGCAAGCCCGTGGCTCTCGGTTTGATCCCAGGTATTGAGGGAGAAAAAAAATAAATAAAGGAAGACTTGGACTTGGCTTAGTATAAATTCAGAGCTTGGGAGGCTGAGGCAGGAGGATCACCGTTATTTTGAGGCCAGCCAGGGGTACATAGTGAGTTCAAGGCCAGCCCCAACTACACAGTGAGAACCTGTCTCAAAAAAAGAAAAGAAAAAAAGGACTTGGTTTTTGGTAATGGGGATCGAACTCAGGTCTTTTTGCTTGCAAGGCAGGCGGTGGAACCACTGAGCCAAATCCCCAGCCTAAAAAGGGTTGCACTATGAGGGTGAGGTTTGGAGTTAAGGGATCACAGAAGGACGCAGCTTGGCGCTGGTGTATGAGTGACAGAAAGACCGGGAATGGTGGGTAAATGTGCACTGCGGCGGGGGTCTATCAGGGAGGGGAAGGAAGGGACCCGGAGAAGGCAGGTCTGGAGGCCGGGCAGGGGGAAGTGGGAGGAGCCTGGGGAGGATGACAGCGGG